TGTCAAATTGGTTCATTCTCAACTTTTCCTCAGCCAAAGGAAAGTAGAGGAATTATAACCTTCTGCAGGAAAGAAAAACACTCTGCTTCTACAGTGGCAACAGAAACACTTTTAACTTTAATTTTTAAAATGTAAAGATAATAACTGGATTCAAAGAGGGGAGTCCTGTACTTTGCATAGCTTTTGGCTGGTCGTGCCGTCTCAAGTGCCCACCCTGAAGGCAGACCCAGAGACTTCGAGCTCCAATTCTAACCATATTGTCTCAGTGTCATCCTGTACTGCTCCCTTCTTATGTCAATTCTCAACTGGTGCAGATAGGAGGAGACACAGACTTTGGTACAGGCAAAGTTGAATCCCACCATGCAATCACCACAATAACAGCAACAGGAACTCAGAGAGTGCTTACTAGTGTGACATGCTCTTGTGTATGAATGTATTCAATCAACTCATTTAATCCTCAACAAAATACTACAAAATAGGTGCTTTCAGCTGAAGAATAAGACCTACAAAGATTTCATGATTTAGCTAAGGCCATTGTTATTAAACTGGCACAGCTTGGAAAAGAAGGAAAAAGTTCTAGAGTTTAAATGACAGTTTAGGGTATTGTGGTTAGAGGTTAGAAGGCAGGAAAAAAAGAGCTTATTGAGTTTACTGAGTTGGTGTCATAAGAAACATTGCAGGAGCAACCTAGATAAACTAGAATTTGGAAAAGTCCTATGGGTTTATGTTATCCTGAGGCTGCTCAGATAACTGATAGATGATTAAACATACTATTTTTAAAAATCACATAACAAAATGAATTCAAGTTATTCTTCAACTAGAATAGTATCATAGAACAATCCTTAAATGTATAAAAAATGGTCTTGGCCGGGCACGGTGGCTCAAGCCTGTAATCCCAGCACTTTGGGAGGCCGAGGCAGGTGGATCACAGGGTCAACAGATTGAGACCATCCTGGTCAACATGGTGAAACCCCGTCTCTACTAAAAATACAAAATATTAGCTGAGCATGGTGGCGCATGCCTGTAATCCCAGCTACTCAGGAGGCTGAGGCAGGAGAATTGCCTGAGCCCAGGAGGTGGAGATTGCGGTGAGCCGAGATCGTGCCATTGCACTCCAGCCTGGGTAACAAGAGCGGAACTCCATCTCAAAAAAAAAAAAAAACCAAAAAAAAAAAAACAAAAAAACAAACAAACAAACAAAAACAAGTTTCCCCACCTTAAAGGAAGGAAAACCTAGAAGGCAAAATGAGTTGCTCAGCTAGTATAGGCCCAAGCTAAAATCCAAGCTCTTTTCTACATATCCCCACAGAATTGACTCTGGCCACTGCTTCACACTCTCTAGCCCTTATTTGCCAAAACAAAAATCAACCTTTCATTGTCCCAGCTGTAATTATTGCATATTCCAGTGCTGTTATGTGGGCTTGCCCAAATATCCTTAATCCAAGGTGTCATTTCCAGTCTTTATTTCCAACCACTAGATCTCATCTGCTCCTGATCTTGGGACAAAAACTTCCATTTTCATGGTCCAATCTTAACTCATTCTGCAACACTGAAATTTTACTGATGTCCTCTTGTCCAGTTTGAAACCTTTCAATACATTTCCCTATATTTATAATATCCTGACACTATGAAATTTTGGACCAGATACTTTTTTTAAATTGTTGAAGCATGTCCTGTGCATTGTAGGCTGTTTAGCAACATCCCAGACCTCTACCTACTGGATGCCAGGGGTACCCTTACCCTAATTGTGTCAACAGAAATAGCTCCGGACATCGCCAAGCATCCTCTGGGAGGCAAAGTATTTCCTGGTTTAGAAGCACTAGATTCGAAGTAAAAATTAAAGTTAATTAGTTTTTGAAAATCTTTCTGTGAATTGTATATTGCCATGTTATCCACAGTTAAAGATAAGTCTCAGTCTAAATTCATTGTAATAGTCCCTATGTTCCCATTATACTTTGAAATAAATAAATCTATAATAACATTTATCACCTTTAATTATAGTGCTTTAAGAAATCCAATTATCCCATACATATTTTTGGCTATAAGACTAGCATCTCTTTGGCGTCAGAGATCATGTAATAAGCACCTTTGCATCTCTGCACTTGCAAATATCCTAATACATAGTATGTGCTCAACTTGTACTTTTAAGCTGTGTTAGGAAGAATTCTATGTGTTGGCTTTTTAAATGATCTATGCCTACAGAATATCCATGTATTTATTGTTTGTAACATTTATTCACATTACAGCCCTAGATTGCAGGGCTGTGATGTGAATGCAGATTACTTTATTCTAACTACCCAAGTACAGGCACAATAGCTGGGATGAAATAAGCTAACATGCCATATTTTTCAAATACAAAATTACATTCACTGTCAATAAGATAAAGAAACTTCAGACCTCCTTTCATGTATGTGTAGATATGTTTTTCTACTACTGATATATTCCAATTTTTAACTCTTTGCCTAATTGAGTGAAATTAATTCACCTGTATCAGGCTTTCAAATGAGTGAATATATGCTGATGTAATATCTGCAATATCCCCTTTTGATTTTATACAATATCCTTCCCTAATCAAGCTCAGTCTTTCCTGCTTTTTCCCCGAGACACCTCTCTACCTGAAGAATCTAAACCATTTAACAAAACACCTGCCAAGACACATAACTCAGAAATAAGAAGACCTAAAGAAAAGCTCCTCCAATAATAGGATTCATTGTTGGATTCACCCCAAAGTTGTTCCACTATTTGGACTGAAATAGCCAGTTTTGTGCAGTAAGCTATTAGTGTAGTTACAGCATTGACTGAACTGATCCGTCGGTTCAACCAAGAAGGTTAATCCAAAATCAGTCTAAATATAAAACGTTAATTGTGAAGAAGCATCTTCATTATTGATTGAATGAACATCTCATTAACTCAATGCCTTCACCACTTATGATTGTATGCTTTCAAGTTTCTCATTTATGCATTCTCCTACTGTTAGAAAAACAATAATACAGTTAATTAATAATACAGATTGGATAGGGGTACAAAGAATGGAAGGAAGGTGAGAGATTAGTTTGGCAATTCAATTTTGACTTTACTATTTAGAATTTGAAAGATCATGTCTATTATTAATTCATATTTATGAGTTACAAAATCTATTTGCTTTATAGGAAGGCATAACCACATCTCTAAAATATGCTGAATTGTTCTGTCACTTATCCATTTTGTTGAGATCCTCAACATACTTTGAAGCCAAATGTAGCAGATGCATACACACTCAGATATTTCTTTCTTCCTAATATTAGCTCCTTATACATAATTGATTTGAAAGATGAATATTTATTTTTAAGACTGCAAACTTACCAGTCATATGACCTCACTTTTTCACTGTCAGATCTTTGACATGTCTAAAAAAGCTTAAGAAATTATTTAGATTAGTTCCTCATTGTATAGATGAAGAAAAGAGTTTTGAAGGGTTTAGTACTTTCTCCAAGGTAATGTATCTAATTATGGCAAATGACTGTAGGACTCTCAGCTGTTGAGAGAATAATTATTAGTCCTGAGGCTGCGCCATAATTTAATGCCTTAGGCTGCATACAACACCAAGAAGATGACAAGGTGAGACTGCCAGGTTCAAGCCCATCATACTTCACATACTTGTGTACCTCACTAATCTGCAGGTGTTCCAACTGAAGTCCTTCTTTTTCTCATAAACTCATAATCCACAAACTGTTATCCTCTCCACTTCTTCCCCTCCCCAAATAAACCCTTCTAGTATCACATGTGACTCTAATTTGTGTTCAGCAGTCCCCTTTCTCTCACATTTTCCCATGCCTCATTGCCTTACCTTAGTTGAAACCTACCTGATCCTTGAGGCAATGTCAGGGCCAGGATTAGAGCATTCCTTGCCCCCTCCCATTGCTACTTCCAAATTATCTTACTCCTTCCCTCCTGCAAAAATAACTGTTCTTTTGATGTTTATGTCATGTGGATATCCCACCATTTCTTAGTCCTTCTCACTATCTTCTGGCAACCTCCTAGTCAAACCTCCTCATTCACTGAAGTCTTTTGTTCCTGGCAAAAGATCTTCCATTCAAACCAATTTGCTTCCTTTATTCTCGGCAATTTCCATACCTGACTGGATGATGCAAAAACTCTCAGCTTCTCAGTTTCTTTACTTCCATATTCCAATGACATTTTCATTTTTCTTCACTTCAGTCATCCATTCTATGTCATACCTTGGATGTTTTCATCTCTTAAAAAGTAGCAACTCTTTCAAAGAATTGAAATAACATCCAACTTTCCTCTACAACTTCCTGTGCATTCAGGAGATTGATGCAAGTACTCCATGCAACTACATAGTTCCTCAATGATGGAGAGACATTCAATCCTTTCATCTCACCACTTTCTTATCCATCAGTCCCCTCCTGCATTATTTCCTATCTTGTTCAATACAAATCCCATCATCACATAGCTCCCCCTTTGAAATACTTTCAACTCCCAGTCTCTTTGCTTCACTTGAGCTGATCTTACAAAAACTCCAATTCATGAGTGAACTCACTCTGTTTCAGACTTTTACTATGTATGAAGATATTTAACTTTTTGTCTATAGCTATCTGTGTAGAAACAAAAGGAAGGACAGTTTCTTACATGACTCAGCATTCAGCTTAATTTTTTCCTTTTGGCATAGTGAGTTGGGGTCCTAAGTATTTATTTTCCTTTCACGTTTCTCTCCCTCCTTTTTAAAAAGAGGTCTTTTGGAGAAAGCATTTTAGAAGAAAATGAGTCTCTGGTCTCAAGTTTTCTCTGATATCTTGTGGCTAAGGCAATTTATTCCTCGATAAATAGGTCACATGTTAGGAAAGCTCGTTTTTACCATGTTGTAATCTTACTCCCACAAAGAAAAAATAGAGTGAGGAAGAGAGAAAGAAAACAAATGAACAAAAGGAGAAAGTCACAAACAAAAAAGAGACAGCAATCCTGGAAAATTAGTGAAGTACATATTACCCTGAAGTCCATACCTCAGATCGCAGGTATGAAAATGGCTTATAAATGGGTTGCTGTTATTTTCTTCCAAAATGTAAGCTGTCCAGCTTCAGTATTCCAAATCAGAAAAAATGGGGGAGGAAAGAAAAAAAAGAAAGAAAAAAATTGAAGACAATTTTGGAGACTTTGACCAGGAAAAATTTTAGAATTCAGTTGAAATTGTAGAAAAATTATTATATAACACTAGACGAGGCTCAAATCTAATAACAAGTGTACTGTAGTTTATTCTGAAATACAACTTTTTTCTTTTTAATTCCCTAATTTTATTAAAGATAAAATGATAATAGGACAATCTTATCTGTAAAATAAGTTTTAGTCATATTGTACTTGGCTTGATTATTTGCATAAGGTGCAGCAAGAATAATCATTTACCATACTAGCTCCCTCTTTAAAAAAAAAAATGGCTTTGTTGGAATCTTTTCCACAAGGAATCAGATTAGATCTTTTTAAAGGCCTCGCACCCAGCCAACAATTTAACTGTGCCTGCAGATACCTGTTTGAATTGGGTGAATGCCTCTCTTTTTGAGGTTCCAAGAAAACGTGGGGTTCCTGGGCCTATCAGAAAGTGATGACGTTCTTTACTTACGACAAGTCAGGATCCTGTAAAGGACAAGGTATGTGGTCAGTTTTTCAAAGGGCTTTTATCACATCTATAGGTAGCCTGCTTGAGACTGGATCAACAATCCTCATTAATACATGAGCTCTCCATAAGAGTCCTGGAAGATTTTCTCTCCACTCAATGGCACAATTTCTAAAATTATCAGAAACCTATATGTAAGAGTACTCAGAGTAATATTGCTGATTATAAACCATCCCAAAGAAGGATCAAAGTAAAACAACATTTGTGGATGACAAAAGTCTTAGAACAGTCATGGTTAAAGACACAATATACAAAGTAATTTGGTTACTTTTGTGACATACAACAATTTTACATAATAATCATAGTCACTACTGATAAGATATATTAAGACATATCAGAATCACAGAAATCTCATACAATTTTGGAACACATACTAATAACCCATTTATATAAATATAATCCAAATAAGGTTAAACACGATTTCATATTTGACAATGCTTTCTATATGATTTTTATTATACCAAATAAGCTGAACATGTCTCGTTTGGACTTCAGAAGACCTAACATCAAAATTTAAAGAAGTTAACAGAACTGGATTTAAAATTTCATTTTGGAAAGGTTTTCAAATATAAAAAGATTAAAACTTGATATCACGTAATGGAATCACAGGTCATTGTAAAATAAGTGATTCATTACCCAAATGATAACTCAGAGATTTAAAAAAAACAAAAGGCAAAAGTCTTTATTCTTTGAGAGAGGAGACCTTAATTTCCCAAACAATAAGCCCTTGAAAAGACAGCAATTAAACCTGTCTCTCAAACCTCATAAATAAATCTATTAAATTGTAATAATCTTGATCATAAGATATAATTTTCTTAGACCTTTTTATAACCTCTTATATTTTTTTATTAAAAAGTTGGTTAATGCTCCAAGAAAACCTTGCTAATATGACACAGGGGTTCAGATGTTGGTCTTGCACTAGTATGCCTTTGACATTAATGTTTAATTTATAGAGAAATGCTGAACTAATTTTGTCTCTCAAAATTGGCCTTTAAAACCTCACATGTTCACCTATTCTGAAATAGTCCCTGGGCCCCAAAGCACTGAATATAAAGTTTTAATTTCTGGCTCTGTTTCTCATGAACACAGTATATTTTGATTGTCATATTTTCCAGGTCTGAAGATGAGGCTTTAATTGCTGTCAGTGTTAAGATTTAGCAGGACTTGGTGTCCTTTTTAGACCTATACACCAAAGCCCTGTAACTTAACAGCACAAGGACTTTAAAAGCAATACAGAAAGTTACATGGATGAGATAATCTTAATTTTTAAAATGTTTAAATTTAAGTTTTCCTAAGCAAATTGAAATTTAGTAACAATAATCTAGGAATTATTTTGATAAAATGTAAAATGTGTTAGGCCAGTTACCAAAAGGCAAAAAACTAAACAAAACAATAAAAACCCATCTTCTGCAGTGTGATTACTTTTCCCTATGAGGAGTCTACTTAGATAACCTGTGAGTCAAAACTAATGAAAATGGTACTTGAATTTGTTAGATATAGGAAGAGATGTCAAGAGCGAAAGTTTTCAGTTTCGTAGAACAATTTACAGTCAAGAGCACAGAATGTCATATTGGAAAAAAATATTTCCTTTAGACCTTTAGGATAAAACATTTTTAGCTTTGTGCCACAAGAACAGTTAGAAGCTGAGGGAAAAAAATTACAGGAGCTGACAAAAAAGTTAAAGGAGAGAGTTATTATCTCAGGCTTTCTCAAAGGAGAGAGAGCTGAAAACAGTGAGATAGGGTAAAAGTTGAACTTCTGGGTTAAAAAAATAAAATATTTTGTAATTTTATTAAACATACATAAATATCTTAAAACACAAAAATCACACAGAGATTGAGAGACAGACTGGTTTGTTAGAGAGAATTAAAAATGAATGGCAAGTCAAACATAAAATTCTAGAAATCTACCATAGGATTTTATAGGGAGGCCAGTATTATTTAGATAGATAGTTTTAAATTTAGTTTCTGCCTTTTAACTGGACCTCTGAGTTCTGGGCAGAGGCCACAATGAAGCCTTTGTCTCCAAAAACAGACATATCATGAAACTTGGCCAGGTAATGCTTTTACAATGCATTTTGTTACAAGGACATTTCTCTAATTGTCTAAACCATGTCATTTCTTGTCTTAAACACCCAAGGGTGGCCCCTGTTGTATGCAGTAACTATTTTAGTCAAAAAAAAGAAAAAATCAGGTAACATAACACAAAAGCAAGCAGTTTAAGGTCTGAGAGGAACTTGTCTGTTTGTAGTCTTGGAGTTCCACAATGAAAAAACAGAGATATATCCCCAGAAGGGAGTCTGAGGCCTTCACTATTTTCTTTAAGAAATTCCAGGCTGTTAGAAATTATTTTAGGTCCCTATGTAGCAGAGGGTAGCAAGAGGAAGGAGAGATAGGCAGAAGTAAATGGAGCAAACAGAATTCAGTCAACTGAGACGGTTAAAAAAAAACCTTTTTCTCAAAAAGAAAAAAGATAATGGGAGAAAACAAAAGTAAAAAGGCCTTTTAAATAGATATATTTAAACACTGCATATGTATGTAATACATGTATATGCAGTATTATGCATATGTGTACACACATACGTCTTGCATATTAGCTTTTAATTAAGCTGACTTTTAACCATTGAGCTCTTTAAAATATCCTTTTAAATCTCTTATTACTATAGTTTATCTGGAACAAGCTGATGATTTTTCAAAAGTAACACAAATACCAATCAGAAAAGATTTGATTTACAAACCAAACCCAGGCTGCCATGTTGAAAGAAGGACAGAACCTTAGCTACTGAACTACAGCATGGAGTAACCACCATTATTGCTCTTTCAGTCCGGCTTTGCTAGTAAAAAGTGGCCTTGTTAGATAAATAAAGCCCTTCAGCTAGTCAAAATCTTTCTTTTCCATTTTCCTGGCCTTCTTTTTTTCAAATAGCTGTGGGAATTTAGGCAATTCAAAGGCTGTGTTCCCCATAATTTGGAACTTTCCTTCAGATTTAACCAAGTCAAGTAGAGATGAGATAGATGGTCAAACCCAATGGGAAAAAGACTAAAAAAATGAACAAAAACAGAAACAAATAAACAAAATATCAGTTAGGCAAAATAAATAAATGATCACACAATTCATCAATTACTGAGTGCTCTAATGATAAACAGAATTTAAGACCACCTCGTTGTTAATCTTAATTTTTAGTCATTAAGGAGAATTTCCAAGATAAAACCCCAATTCAGCTACTTACCCAGAAATGGGGCCCAGGCTGAAGACTGCTCTCTACCACTTCAGAAGCAGGGAAAAAACTCTCAAACTTGTCTTCCCTGTTGGAAGTGAGCTAAAGCTCCAGAAAGGAGTTGCCTGCCCTCCATCATTATGTAAGCAGAAAACTCACATTCTTTGTTGTTAGTGAGTGAAACACCAGAAAAGGAATTGTACAGCAAAATAAACCTCAGATCCCAACCAAATTTGAAATATTAGAGATTTTCTGGAGTGGGGAGCTCCTATGCCTCAGCAAATTTTCCTACTGGTTAGAGCAATAAATATAGCTCAAGTTGGTCCCAAATACTGATCAAAGAGTTACCAAAGGTCAGGGCCAACTCCACTCAGAGTCCCTTCTGATGACCACCAAGTTGTAGACCAAAAAGTACCTGAGGCAGTTCCCAATCAATTTAGAATTTTATTCTGCTAAGTTTAAGAATATGTCCAGGAAAGCAGTCTGTGTCTTTCACCAAATATGATTTTTAAGAGCTTCAATATTTAAAGGGAAATAACAGTCTTGGGGAAAGAGGGAGTCGTATTACTGAATCCACATGTTGCAAGAGGAAAGGAACAGGTAGGGTAATAGTCAATTATAAAGTCATGTCACACTCACTAAAGTGGCACTTTACATAAGATAAGTGGAATGTAGAGTCGCTACCTGTGGAGATATTTAACCTTTTGTCTGTAGTTATCCGCTTACAAACAAAAAGAAAGGCAGTTTCTTGCATGACTCAATCCATGAAATTAGGACATTATCCCATTTATTTGTGTCTTTTTCAATTTATCAGTTTTATAATTTTTGGTCAACATATCTTTCATCTTCTAGTTAAGTTTAATCCCTAAGTATTTTATTTTTTGTTGGTGATGTAAACGGAATTGTTTTCTTAACCTTTCAGATTACTGTTGATATCTAGACATACCACTGATTTTTGTATTTTGCAATCTTGCTGAATTATGTATTAGTTTTAACAGTTTTGTTTGTGGAGTCTTTAGAGTTTTCTATGATTATGTCATCTGCAAACAGGTAATTTTCTCTTCTGATGTTTATACCTTTTATTTTTCTTGCCTGACTTCTCTGGCTAGGACTTAAAGTATTATGTTGAATACAAATAATAAGAGTGGACCTCCTTGCCCTCTTCTGCACCTTAGAAGAAAAGCTTTCAGTGTTTCTCCGTTGATTATGATGTTTAGGTTTTTGTTTGTTTGAGACAGTCTCTCACTCTGTCACCCAGGTTGGACTGCAATGGCGCAGTCTCGGCTCACTGCAACCTCTGCCTCCCCAGCTCAAGTGATTCTCCTGCCTCAGCCTCCCTAGTAGCTGGGATTACAGGTGTGTGCTACCATACCTGGCTAATTTTTGTATTTTTAGTAGAGGCGGGGTTTCTCCATGATGGTCAGGCTGGTCTCAAACTCCTGACCAAAAGTGTGATCTGCTCACCTTGGCCTCCCAAAGTGCTGGGATTATAGCTATGAGCCACTGCATCCAGCAAATTGTGGGTTTTTATATATCCCTTTACTGTGTTGAGGTTCATTTCTTCTATACCCATTTTGTTGAAAGGCTTTTTTTTTATCATGATGCGATGTTGAATTTTGTCAAATGTTTATTCTGCATCTATTGAGATGACCATGTGGTTTTTTTCTTTCGTCCTGTTAATGTGTATCACATTGATTGATTTTTTTTGTATGTTAAACAATTCTATGCCAGGGATAAATCCCA